AAAAAAAAAAAAAAAGCCTGAGTTCTTTGGATTTAGGATGTTATCCCTCCAGATTAATGGTTTACACAGTATTTGTAATCTGTGTTGGACCTGAAGAGGTTTGATCTTGTTAAACAGGAAATTACAGAATGTTATTTTCTCATGTAGTATACAGCTTCCTATAAGACAGATGTCTTGGTTTTTTCCTTTACTCCGCCCACCCCAAAAAAAATTCTTTTAGGAGCTATGGCTGCTTGGAGCAGGGCACAACTGTGCACTCACCTTCTCTTTCCTGCTCAGGCAAAAGCTACAGTTTTAACCCTATCACCACCGAATTGGCTGCTTTTGCCTGAACAGAAAGAGGCAGGTCATGAAAATTAGGCTTGGTCCCTGCTCCAATTCAGCTGTGAAAAGTTTAAAACTGTAGCTGCTCACTAAGACAGGGCCCCCACTTCCCTCCACAGATTGGGGAGGGGGTGAACGAGGATGAAGAGAAAAGAAGCAGGAGCCATTTTCTAGAGTTTTCATACTTTTTCATACTATTTCAAGCAAAAGAAAAATCAGCTTACACACCCACAACATGCAACACAATTTCAGAGGGCTAATTCTGAGGATAAAAGTGTGTGTGGTATGTGAGTAAAAATGCAGTATTTAAATAGGTCATGTTGAATACAACCAAAATATAGGAAGCAAAAAGATGTCACATATAGACATTTTTTCTTTACTCCAGAACAAGGCAAAAAATATTAGATCTTCTGGCCCATTTGTTGGCATTCAGATAAATGTTACATTCCTCATCTGTTTTTCAAAGCCAGCTACTTGCCTAGATGAGATTCCCATATTAATCTCCTTTTAATGTAAGTACCATATTTACTTATATTTATCCACAAAGAACCTCACCTCAATTACTATGCCATTCTACCCATTTGTAAATGTATTCTTGGATTGAGGCCCAGATGCTCTGCATACATTTGGTCATGAAGAGAACTCAAACATTGTTGTCTCCAGTAACTTGAAAGGGCATAATCTCTGCAACACATGTCACATATCCACAGCCACCCAAGTTAGTCACTCTCAGATGGAGAAGATACATAGAAGCTGCTGGTTTTAATTAAAATCAAGATACAGCTACTTAATCTTTTGCTCTCCTGCTTTGCTTTTAGACAGGATGAGGCAGACGAGATAGGACTGCCATCAGCCACTTCTGTCCACTGGATCCTTTGAAAAGCAACGAACCATTACAGCTTGACACTAGGTAGGTTCACAAACACACCAGAGAGAGCCCATTCAAAAAAGCCAGGACTTTTGATAGACCTGGTGACAATATTTGTGCTAATGCAGTTTGGTGATATTATAGAATGATTGTAAAGATACTTCTTTGGTGACAATTAAAAGCTATATATTCACTACTTGTGAAATGAAGTTACCTGGTATTTTAAAGACGAAGTGATCGGCTACCGAATAGCAGCTTCTATTCTTCACTAGAAGAAGTTTGGCTACAAAGTAGAAATAGTCTACAGGAGTCGCTCCATGATAATAAATAAGAAGCCCACGTCCTTCTGGGATTTTTTCTAGACCATGAACTTCATAACCTGTCAGGAGTTTAAGGTATAATATTGTCACTGTTTAAATAACTTAAACCCTCCTCTTCATGAGGGAGATTAGCAATTTACAAAGAAACTGAGTAAGAAGAGTTGGCAATAGTTGGCAACCTTGGAGAAGCCAAAGACTGAGTTCAAAGCAATTAACTGTTTGCTCTGAATCAGATTTCTCACTGGAAGAACAAGAAAGCATTTCACTTACTGAAAAGCTTATAATAGTGGCAAAAAAGCAACCTCCCTATCTTCAACCACTGTATCATTTTATCTTGCATTTCCTTTCTTCAGTGATGTATACTTAAACTAAAGCATAATGAAGCAATGCATATAAGAGATGGACAAAACAGATGAGAAAAGTGAATGTGGTGGTTAGATCACACTTTGAAGTAAGGAGGTTGAATTACCAAGAGCAACTATTTGATGTCAACAGGGATCTAGAAAGCTCTAATTTGATACCACCAACTTCAATTTCAGTTTCATTCTTTAAAAAAGGTTACAAAAAGTCTACCTGTCCTTAAGGAAAGAGTTTTTAGGGAGATGATCACTCCCTGCCACATATATATACTAAAACCCTAACTTTAAGACAAATACTTTATTGAAATATGTTCCAGCACGACAACACATACATCTTGCCTCTATTATTGATCAACATCATCTGATGTTTTTGTTTGCTGTTTTGCATTAAATGCATATAGTACACAACTATAAAACTTTATACTCTCCTTTTATTTTTCCAGTTGCTGCTTCTGTTATTCCTAACAATATATCTTCCAGTCTTCATGCTCTCTTTCAGTGTACCTATACTTCTGCCTCCTCTCTTTACCCAAATTGTAGGGAACTGCAACACATCACAGCAAAATAATGAAAATCGGAGTGGGGGGTTGCCCTGCTGATCTTGTCCATTTGAAGATAAATTCTCAAAGGTAAAATAGTAATAAGGACACCAACTGAAGACAACACTTTTGTTGTTTCAGAAACCTTTCTACTGTCCTAAGAACCATACATAAGTTTAAGATACAAAATACCATACACCAATAACTGATTACTTTCATGATACCTCTCAGATAAAAAACAGAAACATAACAGGAAAATGCTCTATTATGTAACTGAAAAGAAGATGCAGTGGGTGTCAGGAAATGCAAACAATGGGACGGAGAAGGGAGAGAAAACAACTGAGAGTCCTCAACACCATTCCGGCGATGGAGGGCTTGCCCTCACCCGGCTCAGCTCGGCCTGTCTGCCAAAGAGCACGGCAGACGCCGGAGGGGTTCGGAGACAGGCAGTGAGAATGACACGAGGCCTGGAGCGACTTGTGTGCGAACAGAGGCTGAAAAGACTCATTATTTAGTTCAGAGAGGTGAGGAGAAAGAAGGGCAGGCTGGCAATGGAAACAGGCGTTAGGGGAGATGCGCTATTTTGTGTGTGCGTGTTATCAAG